CTGGCTCCTCCTCTTCCTCCCCGGGACAGCTGGATTGGCTGCTGGTGTGGGATCGCCCCCGCCACCCTCTCCCCAAATCGAGGTGCCCGCGTTCCGCCCCTTTTGCAGACCTTTCCGGTTCTCCAGGTTTTTCTCCCCCATTCCCCGTTATAACTAACGGGTTCGTGGTCGTGATAACAATGGGGACCGCGTATTGAGCGCGGTGTTGCTCCAGACTCTGCTGTGCACTTTGATCGGCTTACTTAACTCTCACAAAAACCCTCTCAGGAAGAGCAGCGGCACCCCCCGCTCGGTCGGGTATCCGCGGCGACCACGGCCTCGGCTGCAAACCAGGCCCCGCCGCGTTCCAGAAGTTCTCGCGGGAGGGAGGACCCTCGCCAGGCGGGAGCTGGCCGCGCAATGACAAGCTCCGAGGGTGTTCGCACGGGGCGGGGCCGCGGCGGGGGCGGGGCTTGCGCTTCCCGCCGCTGCAAACCGACGGGGGACGGGGGGCGGGGGGGTTGCGCATGTCTCTCCATTCCTGGGGCATGAGCTGGGGTGGACTTGACTCAGGGATGACAAAAGGAGAATGGAGTAAGTGCTACTGGAGAATCTTTCCGATTTACAAACCGTGGTGTGCTCATCTTTAACGTGAGGGGAGGCTTTTAAAGGAATGAGACCCTGCCCAGCTTCCAGTCTGACTCTACATGGCAAGGTCCATTTTTAACCTTTCCTACGCCCAGCATTCAATTCAGAATCCAGACTCTTGGCTCCGTCACTCCACACTGGCAGTATACACGCCGGCAGCAGTAGCAGCCTTATGCAGGGATAATCCTTCGTTCTCAAAGCCCCCACCTCTTCCTTACTGAGATAATCCAATTTAACCGTCCTTGATGGATTAAGCTCTCTGAAACAAAGCAATCGGTGGCAGCGATCTTTTTTTTTTTTTTTGAGTTGGAGTCTCACTCTGTCACCCAGACTGGAGTGCAGTGGCCGCTCCCGGCCACCGCAGCCTCCACCGCTGGGCTCCGGCGATCCTTCCGCCTTAGCCTTCCAAGTAGCTGGAACTACAGGCGCGCGCTACCACGCCCGGTTAATTTTTTTATTTATTGTAGAGATGAGGGCTCTCCAAGTTGCCCAGGCGGGTCTCGAACCCGCGGGCTCAGGCGATCCACTCACCTCAGCCTCCCAAGGCGCGTGATTACAGGCTGAGCCACCGAGCGATCTTAAGGGTGGCCTCTGAAATACAGAAATGCTGCAAATTAGTCTGAGGATGGGAGAAGGGTTGAGAAAGGAATAGTTTCCTTCTTTCTTTATAGCAGCAAGACACGGAAACAAGACGCAAGTACAACTTTATTCAAAATATCACTGATGTTAGCCTGGGTACTGTCCATATACACTGTTCACTTAGTGTATAGACTTTCACACTCATTATCATTTGCTTTGGGTCTCCATTTTCTCACAATGTAAAGTTTCCTTTCCTCTGTCACAATCATCTGTTTCTTTTAAGTTATCAAATGAAATGGCAAAAGAGGAATAAAAGTATATTTGAGTACTCCTTTGAAAGAGCAGAGACTGGGAGTCCTTTATCAATGAAGAGAATGTAGTTTTTTAGGGGCCTTTCTGCTGATGGCTCTATTGGGGAGCAGGAAGCCTACCACTCAGAAATGAACCTTTGTAGACCTCACAGATACCCTGGGCTTATGGCTGCTACTTAAGTAGGAGTTCTTGGCCAACCTACGTGCCGTGATGTGACCAGTAAGGGCAGTTTCTACTCAGCACTGCTTCTCTGCCCAACTCTGCCCAAAGCTAGACACTGCAAGCAAGTTAGATCCAGTAAGCATGAAAGACCCGTAGACAGAGGAGTTGGAAAGGTGGAGGAAACTAGACTGGACTTCTGGAGTTTTCTCCTATAACTTGCAGGTCAGGTCTCAAGCATGCGCGCTCTTGAACATGTGATGTCTGTGAAGAGAAAATTGTCCCAAGTTTGGTCTGGCTTTCTGAGTGATGTTATTCTCAAGCCGTTTCTGGGAAGAAATTAGCATTTCTAGATAAAATGGAAGCAATTTGCTGACCTCTTCTAAGAAACCAGGCGCCCACCCACCAGCTGCTTATCAGGCACTAATTTGTTCTTTTTGTAGGGGGACATAGTTCAAGAAAATTTGGTCCACTGCCCCAGGGGACTCTAGTAGTTTTCATCATTATGTGTTATGAGAGAAAAGAGCATATAAATACTTAGAAGCATGGGACGGGTCAAGTATAGGTGATTTGAAACCACAATGATCACTACAGATTCCTTTCATAAAATAATCCATTTCAGAAGAATATGTCAAAATAAATTTTTATAAAGTTAAAAACAATATTCAAACCAATATATAGTCAGCCTGTTGAATATATTCGACTCATTAATAAAGAAACCAGCAGGATGACAAAGCTGATTTAAAAGAGGATATAATAACTGGAAACTAAGCAGAAGAGAGAATGCCAGAATAAGAATGAAAAACTGGATGTAAAACTGGTTTGTATTTTACAAGGCAATGAAACTGTAGCCTTTGAGGTTCTTGTTACGAAATGGATACCATCTGCATCTCTGAGGGAAAAAAATTGTAATCTTAATCTTCTATATGATAACGCCTAACACCCCAGAGTCTAAACCCTTAAGAAGCAAAACAGACTTCTTGGGAAAAACCTTGCTTACCTAGAGGCAAAAATTGAGGAGCATTTGAAGCTCACATGTGTAGACAATACCTAATGTAATGAAAATAGCTGTATTCCAATACATCTTTATTTATGGACACTAAAGTTTGAATTTCATATAAATTTTGCATGTGATGAATTATTCCACCTTTGGTATTTTTCCAACCACTTAAGATTGCAAAAACCAATCTTAGCTTGAAGTTACATGAAACAGATTGAGAACTGGGTTTGGCTGAGGTCTTGGACTGCTGTATGCCACTCAGGACAATGCCTGAATCAGATGACCCTTGCAACCCAGACTTAGATGACCTTTGGACAGGCTTGTTGGACAGTGCATTACTGCAGTATCTTTGAAAAAGTAGGTGGCAATATTTTTGCCTTAGTTTCAAGTTTTCTTCGTTTGTTTTTGTTTGTTGGTTTGGTTTTTAACAAAACCTAAAATAAAAGGACAAAATGTGGTGTCCCTTTTGGATTAGTGTATCAGTGAGACAAGGGGAGTCTCAAGGGTCTATCTACTAAAGTTGTATCTTGCTCTACCCTTCTGTTCTTATCCTATAAATTCTCCTCTTTAACCTGTACCCTTGTTTTTCTGAAGGTAACTCCAAAGAACTACCCAGGTCATCTTATAACAATTTTGATTATGAAACTGTACAAATATTTCAATAGATTTCCCTTTTTTGGATAACCCCGCATAGAAACCTTCCCAACTTCCAAGTCCTAACCAACAAAGTTGGGTCTTGAGCAATGGTCTTTCAGTGCCCCACAGTTCCCTTGTATGGGGAGAACCTACAATAACCTATAACTCTTTAATAATGCCATTTTAAAGACTTTTCCAACCCATTTCAGGATCATCAAATATTCAAGAGGGAGTATTCACACAGATGCATGAAATGTATCACCTCAGTCAACCATATCAGCTTTTCCACTAATTTTTTATATCTCTGTCCCTAGCCAGTGAGTCAGTGCTGGATAATTACTACAAAACGGACCCAAGCTGGCTGGCAACCCCTTCTCATCTGGAAGTGGTAAAGCTGGCGTGTTGTCAGACTTAAGCAACTCATATAAGTCCCCACAACCTTGTAGATATTTGGGCAAAACAAAAATTCTCAATAACCTAGGATTGTCCTTGCAGGTCCTCAATTCTGTGTGACTCAGATCTTTTTTTACAATACTCTTGTATCACAGCTGCAATGGGTAAAGACATTTTGGCCACTATTTCTGTCAGTGGATTAGAGTCTCGCATTAGAAAATTAGTGAAAGAGCTAAAGTTCAGTTATCAAGCAGCCACTCTAGAAGTGATGGAAATTGTCAGCAAAATATCTTAAGAGGACAATAAGAAAGCTACTTGTAATAATGATAATAATAAACTAAAAAAATTATTGCATCTTCAGATTCCAAGCCAGGCAAGCCTATGCCAGCATAAGGATCCCAACGATGTCTGTTCTGGTAAATTCAGATTGGAAATCCCCACAACCTAACTGAGCACAGTGTGGTCATTAGAAAAATATTAACCCCAAAGAGATATAGCAACCTTAATGAAATTGTGTTCAGAGTAACAGTTCCACAGGCAATTATGAAAATAATTAACTTCTCTTTATCATGCCTAGGAAGGGGAAAACATACTAAAAAGAAACTAGTGGCTGGTATTTATTAAGATAAGAAGCAAAAGATATGCAAAGATGTACCAGAACAGCCCTAAGATAACATTCTCAAAAAAATTGAGAGTGTATGGGTAAATGTATGAGAGATTTATCTGCAATCCAAGTTCTTTTAACACTGTTGTTTATGATAAATAACTGAACAAATTAAAATTTTTATTAATTAAAAAATACAGCTGTGTCATTACTCTGACACTATGCAGTATGGAGCATATTATCATTTTGATTTTTAGTAACTAGAGACTTGATTTTTGTCATAGAAAGCCTAATTAATTAGACCTTTCTAAATTTCTTACACTTATAGGTGGCTATTACATTAAAATTTCAAGAAAACAAGAAAAAAGAAAACAAAGTAAGATGCTTCCTTCTCTCATTATCAGAGTGATGAAGCATAGTGTTATGTCACAGGTATGTTACTTAAGTCTAATTTTTAAAATACATTTATTGCAGGGTACTTTATAGAGGATATTACAAGTGGTACACTAACTTTCTCAAAAAATATTTATGGTACATTTCAGGTGGCAATTCCTTATAATGACCTTTAATGAAAGTGATGAGTTCAATACTAAGGCGTTACTTAGTATTTGTATTTTTGGTTGAGGAAAGAAACACATGGTTTAAAATGAGATAAACAGAGTCAATTTTGACAGTCTACTTTAAAGTTGGTAGGCTGCGGTTTAAATTTCCCCTATTTTTCTTGTTTTAATTTCTTTCATCCTTTCCATCTATTCTAAGATTATTTGACCCTAGAAATTGCTTCCATGGCAAGTCACCTTATCTTTTCTTCAAAGTTCACTTCAAATTGTATTTATTCTATCATTTCTGAAGCCTCACTGAAGATGACTTTAATTGAAGTAAAATTTTGCCAGTTTTCCACTTTCCCTGGCATAATGCAGTACATCAAAAAATATTTTGATTAACAGAATGGCCACCTACCCTGGAACCTCAGAATTCTCACTTCCTATAAGGTAGGTATTATTATTTAAGCAAAGTACAAGATAAAGCCCTAACCAATACCTCCCTTGGTAAAGGAGAGAGTATGTTCAAACTTGATCTGAAGGGACATAATTCTCTCTTTCTGTGCTCTGTATAGAAAAGGACCAAGAAGTTTTAGGTACTCAGATCTATTTTAATATCACAGCTGCAACATAATCTGCTCTTCTTAGCGTGCCAG